AAATTCGAGTTCTTGAAAGCGACTCTTGAATAGTGTATATTCAATTGAAATACATATTTGAATATTGAGAAGCTCTCGAAAAGAGTAAAGTGTGTGATGACGATTAAGTAGTTATAATATAATAGGTAATTTTTAAAACAAAGGTTTTGTGCAAGAAATAGTCTCATAAAATTTAAATTATTTAATTAATTGCATTGAATATTTTTAATATTAAAAACTTATTGAATAACGAGAGATCTAAACCTTCCGTGAAATCTTTAATCTTTATCTAAATCGGGCTGTTCATCTTCTTAATTGTTATTTTTTAAGGGGTGAAATATTCTGCCCACTATTAGACTTCAACGTATCTTCTATAGAATTTGGTACAGTTTCATTTGGTGAGAAATTACGTATTAATTTTTAACTGCACCGTATTAATTGTTTAATTATCATCACAAGGCTATCCCGTACATCGCGAACTAAAACTCATTAATACTGCTAAAATTGCTATTGAATATGAATTGGAAGTAGAAGACGACGGTTTCGAAAAGCCACTCAGTATTTGCGATGTGGTCGACATGGAGTCGCCGGAGCCACCAAGGCGCCCAAAAAATTTTATTATAGAACCCTCAGAGGGAATTGTAGATGCCACGTCGGTTGATAAAGTAAAGGCAAGTGAAATAATAAGTTTTAATTAGCCACTAAGGTTATCATTCAGATAATTTTAGATAACTCTTATATCAAACAAAAGAGGTAATTTCACCATGAAGTTGATCGTTAGAATGTGGAAAAGCAATGATCACGTGAAATTTTTGCTTGTAAACTATTTGTCACAAGTCCCCGTTTTGGAGGTGGTTCCTTCAGAAGTTAAAATTTCCTTTTGTTTTATAAACATTGTTTACAAAAGAACAATTCAATTGGAAAATAAGTCAGAACTTTATGGATATTTTTATTTATTACCACTTGAGGTATGCATATGTAGGCACATATTCATTACAAAACTAATAGTTAATGAAAAATATTTCGATTACTCAATACAGATGTTATAGTTTCTGTTAATTGGTTGCATTACTCATTATAAAAGTCATGATTAATGTACATTTTACCACTACTCATTAACATGAAGATGAGGAGCACTTTAATTTCTCACATCCTAATTTTCAAATCATACCTTCTGTAAGTCAATATTTAATATGCTCATTTATCTCAACGGACTCGTAAAAAAGAGACCCACAATAATAGCAACTGAACCATCGATAGTTATCGGTATATCGATATATTCGATTACTAGTGATAGTAATGTTCCAAAAGCCCCTTTTATTTTAAAGGAATAATATATACGTACACCCTATATGTCCACCTTGAAGGTCCATTCCAAATCAGTTTTTTTAGTAGCGAATCATTTTAAATTAATGCAGATAATAAACTTTTTTTATGAATAATGGTTTAAAGGAAGGAGAAATTTGGCCCAAATCGTCGATAGAGTTAACAGCACTTTTTTTTCCTGACAAGAAACATTTGTTTAAAACTGTTGCGTTTTGTGACGTGCTGGGATTAGACACTAGGTTGCCTCTAATGCTTGAAGGTAATGGACTAGGTCCTAATATTGTCCTCTGTGCTGAATCGTTAAACGTCAATCGCATTTATATGCGGCGTATCCACGAATACGATATCACATTCACTAATCTCGGTGAGAACTTTTCTGTTTATTATTAAATTTATATGATACAAACATAAATTGAAGGGTTTATAAACGGCACCGTCACTTGGATACCACATATTACTAATTTTGGGGGTAGGATTTGCTGCCATCCTAACCGAATTGAATTAAAGCATAAACAGGTTAAGATGATAATAATGCAGTTTAGTAGCGACGAGGAGGGAAAGTTTGTTGAAGAAGTTATGTTTAAAATTGAAGAATCGGGAGATATTTTAACAGTGGCTTTAATGTAAGTCGCAAAAACAGTTTATTTACTTAAACTTAGTAGCAATGCGGAAGAGCTCTTCGCGTAGGTTGTAGCTAGGGTTGCCACCCATACTTTATTATAAAGTATTGTGCTCTATTTCGACTGTGCGTACGTTATATTTTACAAGACACATTAAGTACGCAAAAATACTTTATTTAAGGCCTTAAGTAAACATCGTAATTTTGGTAAGCGATTATTCTAAATTCAGAGTATTTTTACATCAATAATATTGCACAATACAATATTTTTGAAAATGTTTCTATGTTTCTGAACGCTAGTTTCATTGTCAAAGCTATATTTACGGAACAACCTGATTTTCCAAATCTGTTCAAACTATTAGTGTCACTTTTGCTGTCCGTTCTGGCCACTTCAGCATTTACAAAAAGAGTATTCTCTGTTATGAACGCAAAGTGGCGGGACGACAGGAATAAAGCTTCATTAAAACTAATAATTAAAATGAACTTTTAGTTCATTTAAATCTTTGTTTTCCATGTTTAGAGGCTATTAATGTATTTAAGAGCGACAGCAATTTGTTACTGGCTGCTAGGTGTAACAAAAAGTATGTTTTAAAAACAAAAAATTAAATACACTATTTTTATGCTGAGTACTTTTTTTTTGAACCATTTAGTCGAGAAATACTTTATGTAAAGCCTGAAAAGGTGGCAACCCTGGTTGTAGCCACATGTAGCACGTATATCAAATTAAAGTTACCGCGTAAGAGTGCGGTACGATTGCTCAGATGGTTTTATAAAAAATTTTCCACAAGAAATTCGAGTTCTTGAAAGCGACTCTTGAATAGTGTATATTCAATTGAAATACATATTTGAATATTGAGAAGCTCTCGAAAAGAGTAAAGTGTGTGATGACGATTAAGTAGT